GGTACATTGACCGGTTAGGTCTGATTAGTTGGGATTTGACTAAAACGGGTTGGTTTAGGGGTTGGTTAAGTCTAGAATCACTAGGTATAGGTCTGTAGGGATCGGTTTAGATCAGGGCAGGTCTATAGGAGTTGGTTTTAGACATTTATAAGTCTGATCAGATGGAAATTAGGTCTCTTTAGGCTTAGTTTAGGTCTGATTAGGGTGCTAAAAGTCTAATCAGGGGTTGGTAAGTCAATAGGGTTGACTTAGGTTTGATGATTAGGACTTTTAGGTGAATGACTAGGACTTAGGGTAACTAATAAGGGGTTGGTTAGGTCAATTAGGGTTGGCTTAGGTCTGATTAGGTTTTCTGGTCTAGTTTGGGCTTTTGGTTGTCTAACTAGGGCTGTTAGGGTCTAGATAGCACTTGGTTAGGTCTGATTAGGACTTTGTGAGGGGTCGGTAGACTCGGGATCGTAGGACTGGTTAGGACTTTGTTGGGGGCCATGTAGACTCGGTGTTATAGGTCTGATTAGACGTAATCAGGTCCGGTTAGCCTTAAGTTAGGTCTGGTTAGACGTGATCAGGTCTTAAGGTAGGCTGTGTTTCGAGTCTAATAGGTCGGTTAGGTAAAATTATGCATAGGGTAAGTCCAATCAGGTTTGTGCGAGAGTCTAAGAGGTCGGTTAGGTAGAAATATACCTTTTGTTAAGTCCAATCAGGTCTGGTCTAGAGTGTATTAGATCCATTTAGGTAAGATGTACCTAGGGCGTTGTCCGGTTAGACGTGGTTTAAAGTCCGTTAGATCGGGTTTAGGTTGAGTGCCTAGGTTAAGTCCAGTCAGCTCGTATTCTCTAGGTCTTGTAGGTCTGATTAGGTAGAGACGTACCTAGGTTTAGGACCGATAGACTAGGGTTAGAGCATGTCAAGCACGACTAGGTAGAAATATACCTAGGGTTAAGTCCTCTAGGATTCAGTCTCTTCCCTTAGGTCATGGTTTAGTCACTCCTAGGGTCAGTTAAGTCACTTCCGGGTAGAGTCCTTTTAGACTCAGGTTATATCATCCTAGGATACTTCTAGTGTTACCAGTTAGTCCTCGGTTAGTAGACACAGTAAGGGATAAATCATCCCTTAGGAGAAGGCAGGTGAGGTGAGCCAAGATACTCCAGCTCGGGAAACCGAGGTTATGGGAGGCCATACGATTCTTTTCCCTTGGTCAATAGGGCCAAAGGTTTAGGCATCGGGTGCTCCGTGTCTCAAATAAAGACAAATAAGGAGTCAAGTGCTAGGAACCTCATGTTCTTGTAATCCTCTCTAGTAGGATGTGCCTTGTAGTGGGGTCTCGGATGTAAATCCGAACCCTAGGTGTCGGTAGAGGGATAAAAGGGTAGCGGTTAGGATGATGGAGTTAGATTTTCTAACTCGGGATACCCTGAAAGGGTATGGAAGGACTAGGGGTCTCGGGCAAACCCGAGAAATCGGGTGTAGGAGAAGGACAAGGACCGAGGTGGAGTGATTAGTTCCGCGGGTAGGTAGGGACACTACAAGAAGGAGTTGTAGGTCCCGGATGACGAGGAAGGGAGAGTCCGAGGTAGAAGGACATATGACCTCAGAGGAGTAAACCGAAGATGCTTCGGTTCTCGGTCGTAGGTCAAGAGGTGAGGTCTCCACATTTAAGTGGAGCTTCCTCGGGTAGGATGCTCAGGAGATGGTGTGAGCTGGGAGGTGTCGGGATTCACCGGGGTAGAGTCGGTGTAGGTTGGAGCGCTAGGACACTCCCTCTCGAGGTGGAGCACGTGCACTCACGTGTCTCATTCTCGGTGGAGCATCGTAGATGACTAGGATCGTTTTCACGGGACAAAACTGTGAGACAATTCTAGTTGGTAGGTTAGAGTCCGTGGGTAGAGGTCGCATACTCATAGGTAGTGTAGACTCTACAAGGTTCTGGGCTAGGTCGTCTAGCAGGTTTGATAGTATGAGTCAGGTTAGTCTCGGGGTAGTCGGGTTAGACTCGGGAGATGGGTAGATGTCGGGGTTAACTCTCGAGGGTGCACAGGTGAAGTTTTAGACTTCATCGGAGAGAATTATGTAGACGGTCTAGGGAGTCATAACTATTCGAGGTCATTTCGTTAGTCTTCGGAAACGGGAGGTGTCGAGGGACACTCGGAAACTCGTTTTGAGTAGACTAGGATTTGCGTGTTTATGTTGTTTATTCACGCTGAGACGTACTTATGGTACGCTCGGTAAGAACTCTCCTAAAAACGGTGTTCCAATACGCCTTGGATCATGCCGGGAGGGAGAGTTACAAATGGAAGTAAAGGGAAGTGCTAGGGTTCAGTTTTGGCGTTGTTTTCCTCGTGTTTTACTTTTGCAGGATTTGCAGAAGAAGGTGGAGATTTGTGGAGTGTCTTCCGCATATCCTCTAGTTGAAGTGGAGGATCTCAATGCTTCTGTTTGAGATGGAGGCTTCACAAGGACGGAAGGGCGTTATAGTCTTTTAACGCAGGCTTGTAAATTAAACCCTAATTTGGTTTCATCTTCTCGCATCTGTAATTTTGGACGTTTCTCTCTCTTACGGCTGAGAGCTTTCTCTCACCGGGTTTTGGGTGTGTGCGTGTCTTCGGGGCCGCTGTTCGGCGGTTTCGGCGACGGTCTTGTTCTGTAGCCCTAGACACACAACTTTCTCTTCCCGAGACGTAGGTACCGAGGTTCCCCTCGGTACTGAACTCGTATATCGCATGTCTCCCTCCTCTCTTCTCGGTTCTTGGCTCAAACGAGGGTGAAATCGGAGTGAGTCTGTGAGGGATCGAAGGCCGAGAACCACAACATTCATCTTTTCAAGTCAAATCCAAACTTCGTGGCTCTATCTCTTCAGATTGCTTTCTCTAAAATCTCTCCAAGTGGTTGACATTGAGTCCATCTCAATCTCTTAGTCTTTGACTTTATCTGAAACTCGTCAGTTGTACCTCAGATTTGCGTGAGCTCTGTCTCGCCGGATTCTTCTCTTGAAATCTCTCAAGTTTGTTGAACCTACAATAACCATTTAACAACCAAAAAACACATGTGCAAATAATTGCACTAACATAAGCTATTGTCAAAATACCAGTTTTTTCATGCACATTTGTGGATCTTGCTATTCTTTTCTTCTAATTGTTGATGTTTTCGTTATTTTATCATTTGTAATATGTTATAGTTATAGATATGTGTCATAGTAGGTTATGATAATTCTGATTATTATGAACTATATGAGCATGTGATCTTGTGATCTTATGACCATGGTCTATTATGACCGTGTGACCATTGAAGAATGCAAAAAGATTTTCGGTGCTAGTCTGCTTGATATTTGTCTTTCTAAGACTGTCGAATGGTCTTATATACACAAAGAAAATTAGTGAGAAAATTGGAAATATGTATGCTAGTGTCGAAATCCGGTTTTTTATACACATTAATGGTTCTTGTGATTCTTTTTTTTTCTAATTGTTGTTATTTCTATAGTTTTGTCATTTGTAATATGTTTTAGTCACAACCTATAATTCATATTGATGGAAGTGTTGTTGGATATAGTGGAAAACGAGATAGGTAGATTGTGCGGAGAGAACGACTAATTTAGAGTGAAGAAAGAGCCATAATATGTATAATAATTATATGGTATTTGTATACTAATATGTTACAAAACAGTTGTATAATAATACCGAAAGACATTTGAATAATAATGTTGTAATGTTTTTGTACAATAATGTGTTTTAACTTTTGGATAATATTGTGTTTGTACCATAATAATGTTGTACTCTTAACCTTGTATTTTTACATATATCTTACTTGTGTTACACACCGAATGAGCCAACGTTGTGACCCATTGTGACCAGCATGTGATCGTGTGACCGAAATGCAATTTTGCACTGTGTGACCATTGTGACCGACTGTGACTCGTGACTGAAATGTTTTGATAAATATAGGCCAAAATTTAATTTTTAAGCTTCAGAGTGGTTTATCAGAGTCTATATATCAAATATATAGTGTGTGTGAGAAAATTTCAAAATATTTTAAGGGGTTTGTAGAAGAAATATACCAAATTTGTCAAAAGTACTCATAAAACACTATGAAATATATAGGAACACATTTGGAAGAACAACTTTGAAACATAAAAATCGTAAAAACTATATTTTAATGTTCGAAACAATATATAATAGGTTTATCAGAAATCTATGATGTTGTAGAGTAATTAAATTGACAAAAATCGAATAGATCGAAAGTTGTGACCGGTTGTGAACGACTGTGATCCATTGTGACCGAAATGTAATGTGGGACCCACACAAAGAACTAATCATAATTTCTCCAGATTTTTGTGTTTTGTGGGACCCATAATCATTATTTCCATTTTTGCTTTTAATATAGGACTCAGTTTGAATATTCAACCCTATAAATTTTTTTCTCTCAATTTTTAACCCTAAATTTTTACCTACAACATTTTCAACCCATTTTTTTTTGTAAAATATTAAAAAGTTCAGATTTTTAATTAGAATTCGAATATAAAAAAGACAGTTCAAAATTATTTTGCCGATAAACTATCACGATCTAATATATATTGCCAACTTTTATTATTATTATTGTTATGGTATTTCTTCTCTTCTCGCTCATCTTCTATTATCTTATACATTAATTTTAATAGTTTTATGTTCAAAAATGATTTTCTATTTAAATTTGAATGATATCATGGATATATAAAAAGTTATTTTTAATTTTAAAAAATAAAGTATTTTTTTGATATATTTTAATATTTAATATATTTATTTGTTAAATAAAAATGGATATTTTTTCATGTATTTTTAAAGATTTTCTCGAATAAAATAAAAAATCGTCCATATGATTGTCGTGACATGAGAAGCTAAAGAGAGGAAACAATCAAATTTTTTTCTTGATTTTTTGAAAGAAATAATCCATTTTTGCTTCCTATAAATCAACGAAACTCCATCTCTCTCGATCTCCATCTCTCTTTCTCGCTCTCTCTCTCAGCATTTCACCGTCTTTCTCTCTCGCTCGCTCTCTGAGATCTGCGATTGCGTCGGATTCCGCTTCTGCAGTATCGATGGGCGGAGCTTTGGAGGCGGAGACGGTGAGGATGAACGGGAAGGTGGAGATCTTGTCGGAGGATTTCGATCCGACGGCGGTGGTGGTGGAGCCGTTGCCTCCGCTCGCGGAGACGGCCAACGGCATCGGATATTCCGGAGAAGATGATGTTTTCCAGGTCAAGGAGATGTTGAACGGAGGAGAGAAGGAGATCGTGCTCGGTCGAAACGTGCACACCTCGTGCCTCGCCGTGACGGAGCCTGAGGCCAACGACGAATTCACCGGCGACAAGGAGGCGTACATGGCCAGCGTCCTCGCTCGTTACCGGAAAACCTTGGTCGAGAGGACCAAACATCATCTGGGTATTTTTTTTTCTGTAACTTGACCATCCGGGCAGTTTCATGATTCAGGAAAGAACTACGAAATCTAATATTTGAATCACGGGCCTTCATTTTACATGAAAAGCATTGTCTGCCGCAAGCATGTTCTCCCTGTAGATCAAGTGTTCGATGTATGTCCTGAATGGATGTTTGGAGATGTTCCGTTGTAGGTTATCCGTACAATTTGGATTTCGACTACGGAGCTCTGGGACAATTGCAGCACTTCTCCATTAACAACCTCGGAGATCCATTCATCGAGAGCAACTATGGTGTTCATTCTAGACCCTTTGAAGTCGGTGTCTTAGATTGGTTTGCCCGTCTTTGGGAGATTGAAAAAGATGATTACTGGGGTTACATCACAAACTGTGGCACGGAGGGAAACCTTCATGGAATCTTAGTCGGGTATGTTTTGTTCTTTAGATCTTTGGCTGTAGAAAGGACAACCATTTGTGCCACTGACCATTGTATGGTGCTTGATGGTCTAAATCTTTGCAGGAGGGAAGTTTTTCCTGACGGGGTTTTGTATGCGTCGTGTGAATCGCATTACTCTGTCTTCAAGGCAGCTCGTATGTATAGAATGGAGTGCGTGAAGGTCGGCACACTTATCTCCGGAGAGATCGACTGTAAGGATTTCAAAGAGAAACTGTTAGCGAACAAAGATAGACCCGCAATTCTCAACGTGAACATAGGTTAGTCTCCGCTTTATCTTTTATGGTCATTTGATGTTTGATTCTTGGCATTGTGGTTAGATAGAGGTGTGGGTTTTCCTGCAGGAACGACTGTTAAAGGAGCGGTTGATGACCTCGACCTTGTGATCAAGACCCTCGAAGAGAATGGCTTCTCTCGGGACAGATTCTACATCCACTGCGATGGAGCTTTGTTTGGGCTGATGATGCCTTTTGTCAAACGCGTAAGTTCCTCTCTTCAACCTTGAATGGAGAATTTCACTTGTTCACTGCTCTGAGCTCTCCTTTCTCCATCTCTGTCATGTTTTTTTATTTGGAGAACAGGCGCCCAAAGTCACATTCAAGAAACCCATAGGGAGTGTGAGTGTGTCGGGCCACAAATTCGTTGGCTGTCCAATGCCTTGTGGCGTTCAGATAACAAGAATGGAACACATCAAAGCCCTCTCGAGAAACGTCGAGTACCTTGCGTCAAGGGATGCGACGATCATGGGCAGCCGAAATGGGCATGCCCCATTGTTCCTATGGTACACCCTTAACCGAAAAGGCTACAAGGGTTTCCAGAAAGAAGTCCAGAAATGCCTAAGAAACGCTCATTACCTCAAAGACCGTCTCCGAAAAGCCGGGATAAGCGCCATGCTGAATGAGCTCAGCAGTACCGTGGTCTTTGAACGGCCCAAGGACGAAGAGTTCGTCAGGAGGTGGCAGCTAGCTTGTCAGGGAAACATTGCTCATGTCGTGGTGATGCCGAGCGTGACGATAGAGAAACTCGATTACTTCCTGGACGAACTGGTAGAACAGAGATCGGTCTGGTATAAGGATGGATCTCAGGCTCTGTGCATTGCGTCTGATGTCGGAGTCGAGAACTGCATCTGTCCGGCTCACAAGTGAAAACGGTTTTTTTATTTTGTTGTAACCTGAATTCGGTTTTGTCATCGGTGTGAAACTTTGGGTTTCTCTTCTTTTGCATTAAAGCTTGTACTTGTAGCTGTACGCCTTGATGAAACTGTTTACTATAAAATTTTCTGGGGAGTATTATTACAGTGAGTAAACCCACATAACCACAAATATACGTGTATTACAGCGAGTGTATATATATACACATACATACATACCTCTACATGCAATCTTGCAACCTGAAACAAATGTTAAATACCTCTAACTCGCTTGGTTTCGGCATATCCAGCGAAAATGAGGCTTCCTGAACTAGCCGTAGTTCGTGAAATCCATGAAGCTCGGGTCCAGTGGCTGTCCATTTGAGCCAGAAGGCGAGTTGGTCACGTTTTGACTCTTGTGAGCCCCGAACTGATGCATGGTCCGTTGCTGGGCCGAGAATTGCGGCGGCTGAGCTCGGTTGTAAGCATTCCCATTGCCCGGAGGGATTTCTCCAGCGGCTACCTTAAGTCGTTTTAGTTCTCCCCTCAGCGCTTCATTCAAGGCTGCGTTCAAGTTACATGACATATTGGTTAAGAGTATTCATCTCGAGCTCTCTTCTCAGACATGCTTCTTGTACTTGCGAGATTCATGTAAAGTAGTTTGAGGGATTCAAGTGACTTACCGTCTCTAAGTTGAGCTTGTTGCTCCAGCGCCTGCAACCGCAGTTTCAGTTGTTTATTCTCGGTGGACAGTTCCGATGTGCCTCTCTGTATAATACAAACGAAACGAATTCAGTTGCTGGACCGACCTCGTTGTGTAGCATTTCAAGAATCAGTCAGAAAGGTCAAGACTCTGACGCCATTGAAGTGAGCATAATACAAGTAAATCTCCCTCTGGGTCATCTTCATGAAACTAATCCAAAGGATTAACTTCAGAACTCAGAATCATGAACAGCACGCGTAAAGACAACATGTGCTTGATGACCAAAGTCATCATATGTGAAGTAAATTACCTGAAACATGGTGACTTTAGCAGACAGAGTGGTTGCTTCGTTTTGAAGAGTCTGAACCTTCTTCTCCAGCTCATTTGTATACCTAATCTTCCTCTCCTTGGACCGTGCCGCAGATTGTCTGTTTGCTAGAATCCTATGAACAAGTATCACAAAACAAACATCAATGCTTTCTTACCTAGCAAGTAAAAGGAACCCTTAGTCTAGATCCGGTATTTACCAAAGATTTCATCGGATCGAATATGCCCTATGAAAACTGTTATAGTCACGATTGGAAAAATAGGAAACCCTAATTCTGGTTTGAATTCAGGAGGAAGAAGAAGACGACTGGAGTTGAAGCATCAGTGATGTTATAACAACACCATTTGTTAGCTTTACCGTTTAGCTCTTTTGGGATCGATGAGTGCAAGCTCCGAGAGCTTTTCGCTTCCCATACCCATCGCCTTCTTCGAACCGTCATTGCAACTCACGGCGGCGAGAATAGACTCAACGTTAAACGACGCCGAACTGGTAGCTCCGTCCATGGAACTACTCCTGTGATGATGACCCCTCGTCTCTCCGGCGGCTGCGGCTAGGTTTTTCCCTCCGAATTGATCATCCGCCATGGCAGAGGATGAGAGCCCTAGGTCGTCGAAGAAATCGGAGTCAACTGATAAGCTACGGACACGGCGGCCGGGCTTGGGAAGATTGCGAGGTTGCGGAGGAAGTGGCGGACCGTTGGACGAGGAATCATCGGAGGGGGAATCGACGGCCATCGGCGAGACTTTATGCGGTGGAAGAGGAGGAGGGGCAGCTGCGGCGGCGGTGACGGAGAGGAAGTCGAGGGAGGAGAGATCAACATCGGGAGGATCGAAGAGAAGGAGATCGTCGAAGGGGTCACCGCCGGCGAAGAAGGTATCAGAGCGAGCTCGCCGGTGATGAGATACGCGCTGCCGCGGCGGCACATCCGGCATACAGTCTATCTCGCTCAGCATCGCCGGATTCGCCCTCAGGTTTCCGTCCATAGCTTCTCCGGTGACGATGGTTGCTGCTTCACGGCGGAGCTAGGAGAAAAATGCCTCGGAGACGAAGGGAAGGGGAAAATGGGTAAAATAATTACGCACCTAAAACTAAAGGGGAAATTTTTTTGCAAATGGGTCGAAAAACATATTATTGTGGTGACGAATTTGTTTATACTTTACTTTTAATATCAAATAACACTAATTATTCCACCGAAACAATTTTTGTTGATAGAAAAGGAATTGAAAGTCAACTCGACACCTGCCACAATTATTTAATTAGATAAAAAAAATAATTCAGAGAAAAGTATAAAAGTGATAAAAAAAAAAACGTTTAAAATATGAAGTTATTCGGATTGTAATCGTTTCGGTATTCGAATTACAAATAGTTCAGTTTAGTTTTTTCATTTTTATAAAAATAAATATCAATCAGTTATTATATTATATTCAGTTCCATTCTCAGTTTTGTTCTATTTTTTATTAAAAAAATTATATATTTTTTTAAAAAATTGGTTTTTTGAATTTTTAAAAATTTCGATTCGGTCAATTTAAAAAAAAATTAATTTTTCTAAAATAATACGGAAATTTTGTACTATTTGCATCGGAAAAAATACTACATTTTTCGGTTGTACATCCTTGATTCCAGCCACGTCTAAATGTACCTATCACCTAAGTAAACAAAATAGCAATGAACATATTAATATTAAACGTCTGATACAAAATTGTTCATCAGTTTTAGTTTTTAAAAGGGGATAACTTCTATTCTACGGTCAATGTACTATATCAATATCAACTTATACCCTCCTTTTAAAAACAAAATCCAACTTTTATTATAACCCTCTTTAATATGTAGAGACTAAAATACCATTTTGTATTTACTTTTTTAATAAAAAATTCCTCCTAAAATCTAGGATTTAGTTTTCTCTCTCTTTTGTTTCCGGTTTCTCTCTCTGGTCTTCTCTCTCTCGTCGAACTTGAGCTCTCTCTCTGCTACACTTTCTCTTTCCTCCGAATCTTTCGATTTTTTCTCCAAATTTCTTAGAAATCAAAGCAAAATCAGTTCGAAATTAGTGAGGAAGTTAGAAAAAGGTATGCAATTGTGAAAATCTTATTATTTTCTATGCACATTTATGGTTGTTGGTGTATATTTAATGAACAGTGATGTTTCTTCCACTTTTTTCTTCTAATTTGTTGATGTTTCTGAATTTTTTTCTTTTATAGTATAATAGTCATAGATCTTGGTTGGATCTGGGTTTGAGATGTTGTTTTAGAGTATCACAATGCACAAAAGTCGGGTCACAATAGAGATGAGTTGGTGACATGGCCACACGGTCACATGGTCAATAGTGACATGGTCACATTAGTCTGGGGTCATTAGAGTAACGGTTCTCATAGGTTTCAAGGATGACATGCTACTATCCTTACATGGTCACATGGTACTATATTAACATGGTCACATGGTGCTATATTGACATGGTCATATGGTGCTATATTAACATGGTTACATGGTACCATGCTAATATGGTCACACGATGACATGATCTATAATAGTAGGATTGGTAATAATAGTCACGGGGTCAAGGTTTCACATGGTTACATGACCGTGAATAGTCGGAATGGTAATAATGGTCACATGTTATTATGTTCACATGGTCACATGGTCACAGAGTCCAGAATAGTTGAATTGATCCGCATTTTGTATTTGTGCTTTCTATAGCTAGGATGGATGGACAAGATGAGAGATTGACAATTGTATACTTTCTGTATGATGTTAGATGGATAGTGAATAAAAATGGAGAATATGAATGGGAAAGAAAGTTTATGGAAAACTAAAGATTGTTGTTCTTTTGTCCCCCATGTGAGGTAACCTACAGTGAACTTGTTCGAGAGTTATGTGCTGAGATGAAGGTAGAGAAAGATAAAACGGAGATCAAGTTGAGTTATTTGCCAAATGTCAAAGAAAACAGAAAGCCGATTTACGTATGGAATGACAAGCACGTTCATATTTATTTGTTGGATAAAATAAATGGAATGTGAGGTATGCTTTATGTGGAGATAAGAGAGTTACGTATGAAAATTGATGGTGAACAAAACGTTGAAGAAGAGGCTATAATTCCTACTGATGGTAGTGTTGTTGGAGGAAATGGGAAACGATGTGCGGTAGATTATGACGGTTGTTTTATGTTGAGCCCAAATTTTAAGAGTAAAGTTGGGAGTAATAATGTGCCAGAAGCTATACATCTTTCTGACAATGAACATTCTAGCGGACTTAGAGAAGTTATAGTGACAAAGTGTGATGGTTATGATGATGATGATGATGATGATGATGATGATGATGATGGCCATGATTTAGAGCTTCAGCTTGTGGGTGAATCTTTGTTTTCTGATTCTGTTTTCACTTTCAGTGATGAATTAAATATAACAAATGGTCATGAGTTTGGCAATAAGGAAGCAGCGCAAGAATATGTTCGAAAGGATACAACTATGGCTCGTTTTAGTTATACTACGGTGAGGTGTGATAAGAAGTTATGGGAAATAAGATACAAATTTGCTGGATTCGGCTGTAATTGGAGGTTGCGTACGACATTGATCTTAAACTCGAAATGTTGGAGTGTAAGAAAACACAATCCTTTTCACAGTTGCAAACCTGTTTCAGAATCAAGCAAAAGTATGAGGGATACAAAGAAATTGGTTAGAGATTATTTGAAGGAAGAATTTTCCGGTAAACTTAATAGCACTTCTTCTGCACATGAAATAATAGACTGTGTGAAAAGCGAAGTATGACACAACCAACATATTTGACGACTTACGAGGGAAGCATAAAGCTGAAAGTGAGATTCGAGGTGATCCTCCTGAGCATTTTAGGAAGCTTCCTAGATGGTTGCACATATTGCAGAAGAGAAATCCTGGAACAATTGTAAGTCTTGAGTTAGACATGGATGACAAAAGCTTCAAATACCTCTTCATCGCATTGGGTGCAACGATTAGGGGATGGAATTACATGCGTAAAATGGTTGTTGTTGATGCAATATTTCTGACAGGCCAATACAAGGGCACATTGGTTGTTGCAACCGCACAAGACGGTGACCCACCACCAATATCCGTTGACGTGAGGTATTATCGATAGAGAAAAAGATGCATCATAGAGGTGGTTTGTGGAAAGATTAATAAATACAATCCCAAATGGACCTGATGTTGTTGTGATATCTGATCAACATAGAAGCATAATAAAGGCCGTCAGAGAAATGTGCAAAGAAGCTGGTCATGGAGTTTTGATGACAAGTAAATATTGTCATATTTTCTCATCGGATGTCTAACGTATTTCACGATATTTTGCATATTTGTAGATATCTGTTGTACATTTTACTTCGACTTCGGTGTTTTTGACATTTTGTAGGAAAAATGGAGCTTTCGGCGAAAATGACCAATTTCTGAGGAAAATATATGATCCGGAGCCAACCCGAAAAATATTCTGAGTACCAAATAGTCAAAGAGGAAAAGCTTGCACGATCTTGATATTATGAGCTCCATAACTTTCGCAATATAAGTCCAAATCATGCGTGCTATACGTCATTGGAAAGCTCTTTTCAATAGCTACGCACGACATAAAGATCACTCCAATCGGACATTAGTGCAGAAAGTTATGACAAAATTACTATGAGTCTATATTCTGATGACGAACTATGCAAGAGTGAGCCATTGCGAGCCACATAACTTTCTCCATACAAGTCTAAATTACGTGTGGGATACATCATTGGAAAGATATTTTTGATAGCTACATGTGAAACACCAAGATCACTTCAATCAGATATACTTTGATGGCGACAAGAAAACACCTTTCCCCAAAACATGGAGCTCGGGAATCATGGATGAAAATGGGGAAATGTCTTTCTCCTTTTCTTGGCTATAAAAGGGGCACGAAGGGGAGGCTTAGGATCATCATCCAACACATTATAGAGTGAGTTTGAAGAGTAAATTGAGAGTTTTTGAGAGAGACCCAAAGCGGAGTCAAGAGAAGAAGAAGAGGAGGAGGAAGAAGAAGAGTCATCTGCAATTATCACTAAGCATTCTCATCTCTCTTTAAATTCTTGTCATGAACTTCTATTTGGATGTTGTTTGTATGTTTTCCATGATGTGTGAGTAGATTTATCATTGTAGGTTAGGGATTAAGGTTGTGTAAGGATCATGTGAACATAATCTATCTTTGAAACTATGGGTTTTATAATTTGGTTTGAATGAATGAATCTTAATGCTATGAATCTTGTTGGCCACTTGATTTGTTGAACCTAGAATTTAGTTTGCATAGAGATATGAAACTAAATTTGGAACTCTTTCGTTTGAATAGATGAACATTGCATTGAGAAATGAATGAACATCTAGGAATCATGATGGTGGATTCAATACTCTTAAGAGTTTCAATCTATTTGGTATCGAGAGATCGGTAGTTGAACTCTTAGGAAGTGAGGTAAGACTCGAGAGAGTAATCCTCTATAACAAGAACTTAAATTTCCCGAATCATAACTCTAGTTACGAATATACATCCGTAGAAACGATCCTTACATAACTCGTAATTCCCGACACCTACAATGTTTTATAGAATTGTGCTAAGTCTTTACTTATATTTGCTTTAATTTATGTTTACTTTCAGTTATAATCATCACCATCATCATTATCGTCTCCGACCGAAACTAAGTAGTAACCGTAATTGTTGTCGTTAAACCACACGTGTCCTTGTGTTCGACCCTAGGTACTACAATTGATCCGTACACTTGCGGTGATTGTATCTAGGAATTAAAACAATATTAGATCACATCCTAGATTGACATCAATTTTGTGCGAGACACATAACGCAAAATCTTGAAGTCAAGGTTAACAGAGGCATGGGAATAAAGAGTTCAAGAGATGAAACTGTCGCAAAAAAGTTCTTCAAATGCGCGAAAGCGTATAAGTTGCACGAGTTTGAAGAGCTTATGAAACATGTGATCATGTGACCATGACAAATGGTCACATGTGACCATGTGTCATGGTACCATGTGACCATGTCCATTAGTATCAAATCGACTATTTTAGATCATGTGACCATGTGACCCTGAGACCGTGAGTCTTCTTTTTTGTAGGTATCCTAAAGTTACCGAGTATATGT